GATCTCTAAGGAGGTGCTAATTTAGCCTCTGCCTGAGGCTACCCAGCAGGAGCTATGGAGAGATCTGCAGATTCCTCTTCTTTGTTTAGGGTTTGGAGGTGCCCAGATGAGGCCCAGCTGTGAAGCAATGCAAGCTGATGTTGGGCCTTGGGCCTTCTTTTGGATGTTCTGGGTCTCTCTGACCCAGCTGAAGTTTGTTAGGTAATTTTAGATTACAAAGGTCCAGGGCATTCATATGCAAAAGCCTCTGCTCAAAGCTGGGGTGGGGTGGAGTCTCAGGGAATCAACAGGGCATAGCAAGCAGCTATGGCTGATCCTCAGCCCTGCCCTAAGAGGCCCCTGGTCTCAGTGTCCCACGGTAATTGCTGCCAGCACCTCTGAGAGAAAGCCGCCCTTGAGTTCCACCTGCTGCCAGACCATCCAGTTTCTCCCCATATGAGTCTGGGTCCCCAGAGACTCGCCCGGAACTGGAGTTCAGAGCTGTTGGGAGCTTGAGACTCCTCCCGATTGAAAAAGACAACTGTGTCCTCGGCTGCCAGCCCTTTCCGTGCGCCTTTGTACCTCTGCACTTTACTTCTGCACCCCCTCTGAGTCTCAGTGTGCTTTTCTCTTTTCTTCTAGTTGTAGAATTTCCATTCAGCCAGCCTTCCTGTGGTTCTGGATGATGTCCATTTTGTCTTTTAGTTGTAATTTTGAAGTGGTTTTGTAGGCATTAATTTCAGGTGTTTACCTATGCTGCCATCTTGGTTTCTCCCTGAAAGGATTTTAATTGGCATAGAACTGAATTCATAAATTAATTGGAAGGATATATGACATCTTTGTAATATTAAAGCTTTTATACAAAAATGTGAAAAGTTTCTTCAATTATTCAGGTGTTATCTTAAGTACTACAGTGTTTATGCTTTTTATAAAGGCTAGACTATTTCATAATTTAAGTATTTTGTGTTTATTGATATTGTAGATGAACTATTTTTTCATAACATTTTCTAATTCTTTTTAGCTGTATATGAAAGTTATTAATTTTTAGAATCACTTTTATTGAGGAGTAATTTACATACAATAAAATGAGCACCCATTTTCAGTGAACATTTCAGTGAGTTTTGACAAGCTTATATGCCTGTGTAACCACCTGCCAATTGAGGTACAACACAGTTTCATTACCCCATAAAATTCTCATGTGCTCCAGTCAATTGCATCCTGGCTCCAGTTAAACCATAATCTACTTTCTGTCATAGTACATTAGATTTTTAAAAGCATTTTAAGTGAATGTAATTACATAGTAGTTACTGTTTTATTTCTGACTTCTTTTGGTAAGCAAGTTGTTTTTGAGATGCATCCATATTATGGCTAGTAGTTCATTCCATTTTATCGCAGAGTAGTATTTCGTGGTATGAATATACCAGCAACTTTATTCATCCGCTTGTTGGTGGATTTTGGAATTGTTTCAAGTTTGGAGCTATTACAAATAAAGGGATAACTTTTGCATTCAAGTCTTTGGGTAGGCATTTATTTTCATTTTTTGGGAAATAGCTAGGACTAAAATTGCTAGGTCATATGGTAAAATAATGTTGAATTTTACTTAAAAACTGCCAAACAGCTTTTCAAAGTATGTTGTATTTTATATTCCCACCAACAATGTATGTAATTTCAGGACATCCATATCTTCTCCAATATGTGGTAGTGTCTGTCTATTTAATTTTAGCAGTTTTTACTGGGTATGTAGTGGTATCAGTTTGTGGTTTTATTGTTTTTCTTTAAATCTGGAAAATTTTCAGCCATTTATTCTTAAATATATTGTCACCCTCTCTTTTTCTTCTAGGACAATAATTGCACATGTGTTAACTGCTTAATATTATTCTCTACTAGAGGCCTGGTGCATGGATTCATGCACTGGTGGGGGGCATGGCCTGCGGGGATTGGCCCGCT